TGTAGCGCGTTAAAGATCTTTTTCCTATCTTAATTTTGGAGGGTCTATCTAGAATGCTGACAGCATTAAAAAAAGGTTTTATTTGTCTTTAGAAATGGCGACTAACTTTTTTTGAATTGGCTACCACTTTGAAAAATTTAGGAGCCAAGTGGCTATCAGGAAAAAAAAAATTAATTTCACGCCCTGCAGGAAGCTCATTTCCTGCCACACTGAACCTCCATTGGTTATTCTCAGGGTAAACTAGTCCCAATCCCCCAAATTTTGGCCAAGCAATTAATTTTACTTGAACAAGATTATAGAAACTACAAAAAAATGTCCTGAGTTAAACAAAGTCATAATTGTCATTTTTTGTTTATAGTTGTACTGTAAAAGAAAAATTTTCTGCCATAACATCCAAAACTGATTTTATTAAAGAATAATATCTGCCAAGAATTAGCAAGTGAAACTTTGTATTCCAGATGTTGAAATTTTCTGGTGTATAGTGAATATGTAATAGCATCTCAGCTATTGTATTATGTTGAGCTCATGTTCAGATCACTGTTCTGTTTCTATTTTTGCATTGAAAAAAATATTCAGATGTTTGGGGCATTAATGCTGTGACAAGTGTTGGAAATAATGTCCAAAAATTCATATTGTGTAGCTCCATAAATTATCCATACCTCCCCCACAGAAGGGATTTATCCTAAGGACCCCCCCTCCCTTAGAAATTCCAATTACATGTAAGCTTCATACATTTCCTAAAAGTTTTGACCTTTGAGAACCCCTCATATTCTGTCATAAATCAGAAGTTCTAAGAATACTTTCAATTATTTTATTCAGAAATAACAGAAACTTTGGAGTGTCAAACCCTTGCAGAGACAACATTTGGGGAATGGAAGTTGCGTACTGTACAGCCTTACCCCCTGAGCCATCTTCCAATAACTGTTCTGTAGAGGGCACTTGCACACCTTTGTGTCCTGGCAACTTTTGTATGATTTTAGTTTTTTATTACTTCTTCAACAAGAAATGTATTTGTTGTCTCTGCAACAGGCATTTTGATATTTTCTATGATGTATTACAATTTTGCATTCCATCCCCAAAATTTGAGATTTATCACAAACTTCATTTACCAAGCAACAAAAATGAATGCTACAAGCATCTTAAGTCTGCCATGAAAGATTAAAAAACCTGCTAGTTGGGGACAAAATACTGTGGAATTACCTTTAATTCAAACTAACTGATAGGTATTGAGTTATACTATTCATATTGCAATGTTAGTTAGGTTAGTGGCCCATCCCAAAATGAAGTAGCCCTCTAGTTTAAAATGAAAAACTTAAATAAGCGCCCCATGGCTTTTAACAGAGCGTTAACTAAAAGGAAAGAACACAAAAAGGCAATGCCCCTGGTAATGCCACGAGACATTTTTCTTTAACATTTTGGTCATTCATTTAGCACTATAAAATTATTAGAGGTGTTAAGTGTTTTTATTTATTTAAGTAAATAATGTAAACTGCAATAAAGTAACTTCAAGAATTTATTTGCATTTGTTGTAAAAATCATTGTAGAAAAAGCTGGGTTTTTGCACTGCATGCAAGACATTCTTGCATGCAGTGACTGTGGTTACAGGTATTTCTGGATAAGCCTATCAACAAATTCTTCCTCAAAGCAGAAACATGTACTTTGAAACCATCCCGCACAGAACTCTGGGTATGTCCAAAGTCACATGGCAGTCACAAAATCAAACTGGTGTCTATATATTGTGAATGTGGATTGCTTGTGAAATCACTGTTAAAACAGCTCAGAATTTCCACTTTAGAACTAAAAATTAACTAAAATGGATAATCTTAGAGTCCAGGTAAAGAAATGAAGAGAAGGGTAGTCCAATTGAACTACATATTGAGTTTTATTTTTAACTTTGTACTTCGAATAATTTACATTGCAACGTTATGAAATTCTGTAGCATAGTCGCACACTGGGCATTCAACCCTTGACTTTTGGTGGCCCTGGTCAGTTTTAACTCGCCACTGGCGACCGTGCAACTGCCAATTTTTAGCCCTGGTTTCCCATAGGAGAGATTGTCAAATGAACGACAGTAAATTAAACATATGTTTTAAGGGCATACATAGCTGGGGCAGACATGTATCTTTAATATGGAATTCAAATGGAAATGATTTGTTGTGTTTTCAAAAAACATGACAAAGAAAAGCATGAACTTGCAACTGAACACTTGATTGGCACCACCATCTCTTTGCAGGAAAAAGGTATACAAAAGGGCTATCCAATGGCTGAATTATGTAAATATGGTTCTTATTAATGTTTACATTGCTAGGTGACGAATAACCTATATTTGAACAGCCTGAAATAACAGTAGAATATATGTTGTACTCACAAAATATGCTGTTCTCCAATCCTCCTCCCCAATTGTTGCGTTAACTGCCATGTGCCATTGTGAAAGGAGAGTGCTCTTGCCAACCCCCTTGGAACCTGATAGATAGATAGATAGGTAGGTAGATAGATAGACACAAGAGAATCTGTCACAACTGCCGCTTGGGAATTGCACCTTGCAAAATAATTATTACTAATAATAACAAAGTAAATGTGTATCTAAAAAATTGCATTGCTGTGACACATTAATACTTTATTTGGTGACCGTTTGCTGCGAATGCTGTGAGATACCTTCAAGGTTAGGCACCATTGGTTTGTGGATCAAAATTGAAAATTTTTCATCGGTAGATTATTTAACTCGGGCTAATAAAGACCAGTTACTACTAGGCTTTTGTTTCTTTCTTTGTTGTCTTTTTAACGTATGCAAATTAGGACCTGCTTGATAAACAATAGAATCTGTGTATAATACACTGTGATTTTGATGGTTATTTTTATAGAAAAAAGTGTGTATTATACACAGGTAAATATGGTACAGTTGAACCCTGCTATCTTGAACTCAAACCCATTTCCCTTGGATTTGCCCTGCTTTTCTCAGTCATTTACTATCGGCTATCTCGAACTCAGCTATCTCAAACTCCCTATCTCAAACAAAGAGCAGCATCCCTTGTTCCTGTTTTACAGACAAATTTACCCCACTATCTCAACTCCCAGCTGTATGAGCAAATTGTTGCTTCCCTCGAGAGTTCAAGACTAGCTGGGTTCTGCACTGTACAGTTGCTAGTTTTTGTGTAACACAGGAACAAACATTTCCCACTATTTTATACAGTAGAATTGTTTTAGCTAACTATAATGTCTTTTGCACATATTTTTTTGATTATAAGGTAATTTTTATCTTCCTGAAATTTGCACTGTGATCAAGAAACTCCTCTGTTTGTCTGTTTTCTACTGCCAATGTAGACAACAGATACTGATAACAACAGCCATTTCACGCAACACTACATCATTTGTGTGTCTATACCATTCAACATTACACTGAGCCATTTCATGCAATGCCACACCATTTGTGTGTACGCTGTACCATTCGACATTACGCTGTGCCATCTCACGCAACGCTACACTGTTTATATGTACACTGTACCATTCAAAATTACACTGAGCCATTTCACACAACACTACACTGTTTGTGCATACGCTGTGCTACTTGACACTTGCAGCGGCACACGAACTCAATTAATGAAATTAAAGGAAATAATATGTGCTAAGTGCTTTCAACAATGCACCAGACAGCAGATAGGACCAGATAGTACTTTTTTTGAAGTAAATTGCGACATGCGAGATTTTTTTTCTTGGCTGCAGAGAGATGAAATTCTAAAATAGCCAGCAAATTTACTTGATCAAATCTAGTAGCGCTGACATAAAATAATAGAACAAGAATCATGAAACAAATTATACCGAATCAGAATTTGAAAGCCCTAAAGACCCCTAAAGCTGACTACTTCTTTCTAACTACAGGGCATGAAATTAATTTTTTTTTCTGATAGCCACTTGGCTCCTAAATTCTTCAAAGTGGTAGCCAAGTGGAAAAAAGTTGGTCGCCATTTTCAAAGACAAACAAAACCTTTTTTTTAAGCTGTTGGCGTTCTCGATAGACCCTCCAAAATTAAATTTGGGAAAAGATCTTTAACGTGCTACAAAGTGGACACTAGGATGGACGATATACAACTTTAAAGCTTACCTAAATCCAAGATGGCGTCTAGTTATCGATCGAGATGCATGTGTTGCGTTTTGGAAACAAACTTAACGAGGAAGTTCGCCGCGGTTTTAACTTTGCAAATCTTTTTAATTCACTATATCTCTTGGTAAGGTTATGATGAAACATTCTAGTCGCCAATTTGGCAACTAATTTCCAGGATTTGGTCGCCAAAGTGAAAAATTTAGTCGCATTGGCGCCTGTTTTAGGCGCAATTTCACGCCCTGCCTAATCTAGTACTTATTACGACATTCTTGCATCAACAATTTCCAGCAAAACACCACAGTCTGCAACTAGGGGAAAAGGAGAGAAATTAGGGGGGATGGGGACAATAATGGATATAATCTGGGTTTGATGGAGGAAGTGAGGACAAAATTTATTTGTCCAGTTCAGTCAACCTTGTATTAAGCAGTCACCCACGGGAATATGGCGTCTACTACAGTGCAAGTGCTCAATACGGTGCCACCTAAGACAGGTTTGACTGTAGTTTGTGAATTTACTGATTGAGACAAACAAACAAACAAAAGAAAATAGTTCTGACATGAGAGACGTGGAGGGGGGCAGGGGACGGGGATTTGATCATAACGTGGGCAGAAAAGGTTCCTGGGCCCAGTTGTCCCAGAAACAATTTTCCTTGTGACAAAACTTATTTCAAAGAAGGAAATTACTTTGACGGATATGGCAGGTGTAAGGGGATTTATTTCGATGACCATATCAACATTCTCAAGTATGACATCGTTAGACGTGTATTTTGACGCGCACGCCACTCAGCTGGAGTTGAGCTTCCGATCTGATTTTTGGCGCGCGTTCACTTACCTTCATGTTTGGGACAAAGCCTTTCTTGATAAGAAACAAGTTTTCGTTTAAGCGCTCAATATAACTGCACTCCTCTTTGAATGTACGGTGTTCTTTCGCCATGTTAGTCTTTTCATTCACGTTTCACAAAGGTTTCAGTGAACTCGGCGAAGGGAGAAAAGTCATGTAGCAATAAATCAGCGCATGACTCTCGTTTGAATATGCGCGCAGTACAATTTCTTATCCAGTCCTTCTCTGGCGGGTAATCCATAATGGCGGACGACGTGAGAGTGTTTTTATTAATTCTCTAGGGATAAACCAAAACGGTTGTTTGTTATTTAAAAAAAACGTTTAGATTCAGTTTCTCAATTAAAGCTCTTTGTTCATTGCTCCATAATGGCAGAGAAGAATTCGAAAGGGAAGAAGCGAAAATGGGAACCAGTAGAATTGGACGATCCTTCGTTCTTTGCGGGCGAAATGGATGGATTTATGTCCCTTGAAGTCATGGAAGATTATCATCCAGAAGAGCTAGCAGGAATTGGTGCAGGTGGACCAGCTCAGAAGAAGAAAATAAAAGAATGGCCGCTGTAGGAGGTGAATTGCTTAAAGTGCTTTAAAACATACCGCATAGTTAAATTTAGAAGATACAAATGTAAGATTCACTTCAAGCACGTGGTGAAATTACCCTTGTATTTTACGAGAAATTGGGAAAAATTATCTTTTTAAATTATTTTGTTTATTTATTTTTTATTATAACTTATCTTTAATTATTAAATGTTGAGGGTTGTCCAATACATCCAAATTGGGTTGAGTCGTTCACAAATCGACCCACCAGAAGTTAATTAGTGGTTAAGTCATCTTGTGATACTGGAAATCTGAATAAACCGTGCCTCTTAAGGTGGAAATGTCTTACTACAAGTCGATTTTCAAGACGCTTAATAATAATCCTCAACCTGACTCAAATGGAATGACTTGTCTCCTGAGTCAGATTGGGTGTATTGGACATGAGAATCAAAACTAAGATAACTGCCAGTCATACCTTAAATGAAAAAACAAACAAACAAACAAAAAGAAAACAACAACAACAACACTCACCACAAGAACTACATGGAAATACAGGAATTGATCGAAATCATTTTGAGAGCAGTTTGTCCTAAATTTTTTGAAGACAGCAGACTGCATTGTCCCAAGGGCTCATGCATTTTTTCAGTCTTTACCCATACATGCACAATTATGTATATATAAGAACAGAAGCTTCTTTTTGGTTTTCTCAAGAAGTTTGGCTCACGGGGGAAAAAAAAAGCTACATAGTATTGTCTTTTGATTTAAATCTTCAGGATAATCTGGAACAAACAGTTACCACACCATCCACACAACTTGAAAAAGCACAAAGAATGACCAACTCACTCAGTTTTCACCCGGCCTGTCTAAATTCTTTAATCTTTGCCTTTGTTGCCTTTGTAACATATTTAGTGTCGCTGATGGACAAAGTTGGGCTGCAGAAGAACAGTTGTAAAATTATCGATGTCACCAACAAGAGAGGAACCGTAGAAACCCTGACAGAAGCAAAGATCTCATGTGCAATTGAAGAGGTTTGTAATAGTTGAGCTAACAAGGAAGCAAAACTCTTCAAGATCCAGGATACAATTTTTATTACTTTTTATTGTTGGTTTGAGCCAAATGCATCTACATGTACACCACATTGTCTGGGAAACATGATCCATGGAACCACAGAGGTGTACCAAGTGAAATCGAAGGAGAACTACGAAGCATACAGTTGTTGTAAAAATCACGTCATTCAGATTTATTTTGGCTTTCCTTTCTAGGAGCTTTATCTCCACTATTTCCTTTCCCGGTACCCAGGCCGTACTTTGGTTTTCTCCAACACCATGGACTGTGTGAAGAGACTGGGCTCTTTGTTTAGGCTCTTGGACTTTAACCCGTGGGTTCTGCCCGCCAGCATGCAACAAAGGCAAAGATTAAAGAATTTAGACAGGCCGGGTGAAAACTGAGTGAGATGGAAAAAAAATAAAAATACAAAAAAACAATGAAACAAACGAAACAAACAAAAACAAAAACCAGAAAAAAAACAAACAAACGAAACAAAGCAACAATTAGGAACCTAATTTTGTAGACAACGTGCTTTTTTCCTGTTGCGTCTTTCACGTTCTTTACTGCGCAACTTGCTTTGCGCAAAACACTGGGCGACACGCTTGCTATGTGGCCTTGGATCAGAATCATCCTGATCTTATTACTATTTTTTTTTCATCAAAACAGTGAGTATAGTTTACGAATTGACCGACCAATGGAATTTCCTTTATTTATAGACTATAACTGGATCGCCTTGACTGATTGAACCCGCCCCTCTCCTCCCTCAGAGAATATTTAAAGCTAGATAGGACTTACACCAGCAAATGAAATGTTGGCTGATTTTTTTCTTGCCTGTTAGATTTAAGCAAAGTGCGAGTGGCTTACTTCTGGCTACAGATGTGGCCACGAGAGGTTTGGACATACCAGCTGTCACTATCAAGTTCCGAAGGACCTTGATGTAAGTACGTGTAAGTATGTGTGTACGGTTAGTTAGCTTGTGCAGTTGGTTAGCCTGTGCGGCAGGCGGGAACGGAAGCGATTGCTTTTTGGCGGCAGTGCTTTCGTTCTCCGCGAAACTCTACCTTGACAAAAGGCTTCGGAAGTCACACTGCTTCAACCAACCATGCGTTGACCAAGGTGTGGGCTACAAGTCTCAACTGTAAGAGAAGCTCAACCAGAATGTTGATAGCAAAGTTCGAACGCCGTTGACGCCTGAATTCTTTTTTTACCTCTAAATTTATTTTATTGCATTTATTTTCTTATTTCTAAATCTTCATTTTCTAAGTCTTTGTTTTGTTTCCAATTTGAGTTAATGTGTGACGTTCACCTATCGAAATCAAAACATAATTCATTTATTAAGTTAATGAGTTTTGATTTAGGAAAAAAATTGACTCTGTTCTCCAAATGCAGTTTATATGAAAGGATCAGTTTGTTATCGTTTATCGTCCTCAGTTGTATCTCATTTAATAATGAACTGTTGTGTAATGATGTAACCACAATGTAAGTATTAACTTTAGCGCAACCATCTTATGTGATCCTGCGTTCCTAAATTCTTTCTCTGTTTCGTTAACAGCTTTACATTCACCGTAGTGGAAGGACAGCTAGAGCAAGCAGGGAAGGTCTGAGTGTCGTTCTTGTTGGCCCAGAAGAAATGGGATCATACAAGAAAATTATGAAGACGCTTAATGGAGGTGATGTGTCTTTATTATGTCCACATATCTCTTTAACAGTTAAATTCTAAAAGGTTATTTGCAAATCCCCCTCAGTTTAAGGTGTCTAAATTTCCTTTTTAGTTAGATAACTCTTTACGCCATAATGTTAGCATGCATATTTTCCATACTGTTCCCTATATATTTCTTAAGGTGTTAACATGGAGATTTCGTCTCACAATCAAGAGCTTCTTTAGTTGGTGATCATTTCTCCTGTTCTCGTGACTTTAAAGGGAACCTGCATTTTTAAAGCAAATACTGCTAAAAAGACTCTAAATATATCAACTCAAGATATTTGGTACTTAAAATCATACCTCTAACCTTGTTATTGTTTTTTTGCCGCTTTCAAAACTGGCCTTTACGGCAAGTTCGAACTACCCGCGTTCGCCATCTTGTTAGGTTGCGCTATGCGTTTTGGGTTGATGACGTGTAATGGTTGCTCCGTTCTTTCGTAGTTGGGGTTATCCTGGGGTTTTCCCTAGCAAAATGGCTAATTGCGAAGCGTTCGAGTGCTCTAGTCCGGCTAAAAACCAAGCAGGATCCCAAGCTTCGCTTTTTTAGCTTGCCAAAATAAAACAGTTGTTGACGTGCATGGATTCATGCAAGTAGGTGAAGATGAAAAAAAAAAACAAAAACAAAAACAAAAACAAAGAAACATGGCAATTATCTTGTGAGTAGCCCTTTGTTTTTGCATAAGAGAAAGGCCCAATTTGACAGTCGAACTTGACAGCTCAGCATTTTTCGCACAAAGAATTGTTCACGCAGTTACCGATCTTCTCTCCTTCATTCTCAATTCTTTCCAACCCTCCCCCCCTCCTCCCCTCCCCTCCCCTCCCTTTCCATTTGTCTAAACTCCCCCTCTTATGAAAGCCATCGAACCATATTCACAGATTAAGGCGCAAAAAGTCAAGTAATGACTGGATACTTGCCTCTGCCAAAGCCATGGACATTGAAGTTGACGAAGATTTGTATCTTTTTTGATGAGATGATTCGTTCATTTAGATGCAAATTCTCGATCATTACGCTCCTGTGTGCGATCGCATGGTCTGGGACTAACTAGACTAGCAGCTTCAACATTTGTCTTAGGCGGTTTGGGCTTGAATGCATTTAATGTCAGAAACATTTCAACGGAACGGGCGGAACTGGTGTTCTGGAACTTTACTGTCTTGAAGGTTTGATGTCACATTTTATACACTGTCCTGTTCAGTTTATTTTCCTTAAAAGAGTTTTTTACAGACTGGAAGATCTCGGAGATCAGGGAGAAAGGAAAGAGCGACAAGTAAAGCTGAAGCAATTGAAAGGTAATCAACCTTTAGTTAAGGCAGACAATGGTTGTACTGACAGTCCCACCAAAAATAATGGATCTTGCAGGCTGATAATATCTTAGTGCAATCAAAATGGGTTACATTTGGCTTGTAGTAGTAGGGTGGGGTGAGGATTATTGTTCCCATGGTTCTTACGTTTGAGTTCTATGTGAAAGGAAAGCATGAAAAGGTAGTAAACAGTCTTGATTTCCAGCCTTGTGTGGGTTAGCGTTAGCTTAGCCTGAGTCGAGTGCTCCTTTCATTTATTGGTAAATTTTTTTATAGAATCTATATCAGTGCCGTTTTATTTTACAGCGGAACTTACTGGTTTGCTGAAGACACCTCTGATTCCTGCTGGTTTTAGTGGAAAGTACCCGACTAAAACTGGATCCCTTATAATGCCAGGGATCAAAGGTATTAAGTGAATAGAGAAACAAGAGTATTTTGAGGGACAAAATGATGTGTTGCTAAACACATCGTTTTGTGATCTTTAGTGAAGAGTATTGTTAATGATTTAAGAGACTTAGTGTCAACTGGGCAACCTTAGAAAGCGGAGGAATTTAAATGAAGTCAAAATTACCTCAAGGGGACAAAAGTTTTCCCCTAGTGAAATAGAAGAAAAGTTTTTAGGCTAGGCACCTTTTTTTCTTCTTTCCTTTTCTTTTCCTTTATGTTACTGTTTTGTTTGTTTGTTAGTTTGTCTTTTATCTTCTCTCGTCCTGCTGCCATCCGCTGGTTTTCTTGTCCTTTAAGTAAATGCTTTTTTCTTTTCCTCGTTATGTGCCAACTGTCTAAATGTTCGTTTTATTTTGGTATACACAGCCGAAACGAATTTGGAAGATAATGAAAAAGTGGCTGTTGAAGATGTAAGAAGAAAGAAAAGAAACAAGAAAAGCAAAACGTAACTTGCATTCTTCAAACGAGGTCGACAACTGATCGTGAAAGAAGAAGGGAGATTAAAAACACGAAATGGAGAAAGATTCTTACTTGTAACAACTGGACTGGAAGAGAAAGAGTTGATTTGAGCAAGGTTGACTAGTCAGTGGTAGAATAAACTAAAATCTCGTCTTAAAGTCTTTGACCCCGATGCTATATGGATACAATGTAACTTGAAGCAATGGCGTTCATATATCTTCGGGACACCACCCTTCAGACTCGCGGTATAATACGACTGGACAAAGCAACTAGTCACAGTCTGACAACACATGTCCACTTTGCGCATTTTCTTGATTTGTGATTTGAATTGATTTACAGATGTTTTGTTCTTTACTCAGTGGCCCGAATTTAAAAGTTAGGATTGTTTCAGTCACATATTGCCGTTGGTCATATGAAGATTTCAAGAATGGGTCGGAAAGGAACTGAAAACGCTGTTTTAAAGGGAAATTATTTTTCACATGCTTGACAAATGTTGTCCACAAACCTTTCGCTAGTTCATATATATAAAAAAATTTTAAAAAAATATGTAGATGTGTAGTAAGCAGGAGATTCAGTAAAAGCCGGTCTACCGCCGTTTGTTGAGCAGGGACTCGTGTTTAGGTTTCATCTTACGCCTTTTCTGGCACATTTGCTCATTACATCATCGGCAGCTACTTAAATGTACTGAGACCCCAGAATGTGAGAGAAATCGTTGGAAGGCTGTGCTAAGATTTTAATATTAAGAGGGCTAAACTACACGTAGGTGTGCATGACGTTACTTGAGGAGACGTGAAGAATAACCCTTTTCCAATAAATAAGTCATTTGCTGAGAATTCACTCTAAGACTCGTTCACACTAAACTTCCCTTGAATCTTTGCCGTTTAGTTTATGCGTGAATGTTGTTTTGGTATCAATGCTATGAGAATATGTGTGAAATTGGGTGAAATTGGCGATTTGACGTGAGTACGCGCAGGGCTTAGTCGTATGTGAAATCTGATGACCCGATTCTACCTTGTCTCTCTCGGTCCTGATGACCGATCAACATCCCAAACTGTAAGCCAAGACTGGTGTGGTTAGGTGGCTTGATTTGCGATCTTAATTCCATTAGGACAAACTAATCCACAAAGCACCAGTTTTAACTTATGGCTCGGTCTACACTGTACGCTTTTATGAGCCGTGACGCTGTGCTGCATTGCCTTCCATCTTTACGAGCTATTTCATTTCGAACGCAATTTGCATTGTCACGGTAAAGTGAATCTTTTTGTGTTGTTTTGTTTTGTTTTGTTTCTTTTGAAGGCTCTACTTCCTCCATTCTGTCGAGTGCGGGCCAGATCTCAATTCCCAGACAGATGCCGGGTATCGCTAAGGTTTTTTATGACATGATTGACAAACGGCATCCGAAATGAAAAGAAAAGTGCGAAAATGAGAGGCAACTAGATCTCTACACAATTCTTCATTTTAACACTTGCACATCAAGGCGGTAAAAATCTACATTTTCTATGATAATGATTATATTTTATATTATTATATGTATTACACCATTATGCGAGCCAAATGCAGCATGGAGACAAAACAGGTTAAGTCAACCCTTAATTTAGTGGATCACGTTCTGCAGAGTCGTAATCCATCGAGCTGAATTCAATTACTTTGGCCTGCTGGTCACTGGACTTGTAATGAGCTTGCAAATGTTACAACTTGAATATAATAAAACCTATGAAGAGTTAACAATAATCCTCACACAGAACTTTCAAACTGGTAATGTTCTCTTACTTGGACAATCGGGTCTCTGATAGGCAGTCTAGTTACACTTCTTACGCTCTCATTATTCTTGCTAGCAAATGAGATTCTCGATAATGGATAAGTTATCATTCTCTTAAATGCGGCACGGAATTTCTTCTTAAGGTATATCAGGAGCCACGGGTTAACAACGCTGTTTGCATGTCCACACCAATAGCATAACAGCATAAAATAATATGGCAGCGATTCCCGCACACTGAAGTCAATGGCCAAAATCATATGATACGCATGCGCTGGAAGCCAGCAAAGTGCAAAGGCAACAACGACAGCGATCGACATATGAATAACTTGACGCTTGGTAGCATGGGCCCGAGTTCTTGCGTGATTGTTGATGGCAATGCCCGGCAGTTTGTGCTTGTGCAGTGTGTGACAGACGTGTACATAGAGAATGCACATGGTAACTAGGGGCAACAAGTAGATGGTGACTACGATGTAAAGAAAGATACCTCTCAAAGCTGCTTGAGTCTCGCCAAACTGAGTAAACTTAAATTCTATCCTGGAGTTCTTAACTTTGATTGTGATCAACCATGGAGTCATCAGACACATTGAAGTGATCCAAATTGTGGGAACCAAGATCTTTTTGTTCCTAAAGCGAGGGAACTTTTGCATGGGAAGGTCAATCCCGAAGAAGAAGTCAAAAGCCACGGCTGTTAGAGAGAAGACGGACGCTGTGACCGCCACGAAGAAAACAAACATGATGAGCTTGGCAAGTAATTCACCAAATGTTCCATCGATCCACAGATTGTCCAAAATGATTAGTTCCATCGACTGAGGCATGACAACAGCTGTTACGAGTAGGTCGGCCACAGCGAGGTTGACGTACATGAAGCTTGTTAATCTTCTTGTTTCTGGCCTCTTGTACAGAATATAGATCACCAAAATGTTTCCAACTAAGGCCATTGAAATGATTGCAGTGTATAAGATGGCGAAGGTGAGTTTAATTCTTGATGGATACGAGAATGGAGGCTGCGCCGTGGAGCCTGAAAGAGAATGAAGTGCCATGGTTAAAGCAAAAATAGAGGAAATAGGTCTGCAACGCGCGCGTACACCGAAAGGCGACATAGATAGTGACAATATGCAATAATAATTATTGGAAAAACATCCATTAAACCCAGGCTTTCTCCATCATTGAAGAGTGCATCACTTCTGTCATAAGGGGATATGCACTTAATTGATGGAAAATGTCAAAGCTGTTTGTGCTTTGCGTTTTTCACAAGTATTGCAGCAGCAACAATGGTAGCGTTAGCTATTTTTAGGACACTTTCAGGCGCCATTTGTGAAGGTGGCTTTCCTACCGTTATCAGCCTGCGAGGACGTCAACATTTTTGGATCTGTAGCTTCCTAGTCTCTACTGTTTGAAGAAGTCAGCATAAAATATCTGAATACTTGGTTGACGGGATAAGCTCAGCTCTAAAAAAGCTGAGTCTTTATTTCACGCAACGTTGTGTTCTTTGAATATTGGGTCTGCCAGGAAAAAAGTGAATTTCAGGTTATCATTGTCAAAATTACAAAAAATCTAGATGTTTAGCACAAAACGGCGCAGTTCAGCCAGCTTGCTTAACAGCCTCTTTCATTTTCCTTTTTTTTTGTTGTTTGTTTTTGTCTTGTTTTGTTTTTGTTTTTTACTAAAAAATTGATGTTCGATAAAACCTACAAAAAGATTGGCGTAGCTGGGTCCCATTTTAGTACTCATGGCCACGCCATTAGTTTGTTTGTAGTAGCTACCACCAAATGGCAATTGAGTCTAGTGTTTCAGTTTCTTAACATGCGTTGATCAGCAACGTTGAGATGTTATATCCATGTTCAAAAAATTTCAATATTGTTGGCTGCCTTAGTAAGATGGTAAAGTTTTGAATTTGTCATAGGTGCCATAACTTTGTCTAAATAGCTGGAAATAAGTTCAGTGGGACAACTGCAGGCAGAGACGATGGGTCGACCTGGGTTGTTAGGTTTGTGGATTTTAGGTAAAAAGTAAATACACGAAGTTCTAGGAGTGGTAATGAGGACCCAGCTCTTTTTGTAATTTTATTGGGCCCAAAACCTGAACTCTACGGCCGCTACATTGACGATTGCTTAAGGAGCTCTCTTTCAACCGCCGTTTTTTTTTTTGAAGGCAACGGCTTTAGTTTTTAGTTACTTGTTGTATTCATCCTCACATCCATCACACGTCAAGTCTACCTTTTTCACAGTTTCTCAGACTTCGTCGTTTATTTTTGAATAGTTTTTCGATTGGCTATCCTGTTTCTGTCGTTCAAGCGGGCCACCACCGTTTCGATCGACAGGCAGCACTAAAAAGAAGGAGAACACTGACCGCATTCCATTTACTTGTTAAATCTATCATTCTTAAAAATTTTAAATTACTCCAAAACGATTAAGAGACTGGAAATATCTTTTCGCAACCCCCACTTATTTCATTCAAACGTGACAAAAACATAGGCAACTTTTTAGTCAGGAGTTCATTCCAACCTGGAACTTTTAAATGCGCTCACTCACGATGCAAAACTTGTCCTTTCATTCATAACGTAGAGAAAATATCGGGACCCAAAAGATCCATTAAGATTTGATCACTTTAGTTACCTCATTATTTACTGCATAACTTGCACTTTTTAAGTTATACATCGGCGAAACAGAAGACGACTTGGAAAGAAATTGTTTAGACACTTTAATCTTCCTTATCATTCTGCATATTTTGTTTTTACATTGTTCGGATTTTAGAACAAAAATTTATGAAAATGGAATCAACGAGCGCTTTTCATTCAACTAATTTATTCCTGTTTTCTCGTCACCATATTCCCACCAATGGCGTAGCTCCACTTTCTACATAAAAATCCACACACAACCCACAATTCCTCTAATCGCTCTGACGAAGGGCTAACACTCGAAACGTCAGCTTTTTTACCCTTTACGGTGGCTAATTTACGTTTTCAACTCAGTTGTTAACACTAAATTACCTGCTAAAATTGTGTCAATCGGTTATTTCGATCATGAGGGGAAAAATCTGAGATTCGAGCTCAGTTAAAGAAATGAAAATGGAAAATAAAAACTTAGCTAAGAAACCTTACTCCTAGGGAAGGCATTTGCCACCCAAATTATCGAATGATGGAAGCGCAAATTTTGTGTCAACCTTTTTTTCGTCATCTAAGCTATTTTGAAAGATGGTTTCGGCGGATTTATCGCATAACGAGAGAAAAAGATGATGAAAATCACCTGGGCAATAAAAATAATTAAAAAATAATCAAATTGACAAATAAAACACAATGCTTTAGCTTCCCTTGTGCTATTGAAAACCCAGTTTGACGTGGTGAAATTCGTTCCTAAAAGGGAAAACTAAGATTTGTAACTGCTTCCGTTGAAGCTAAGTGTTACCGCTTCCGAGAAAAGCTGCGAAATATTTTCTGGTTAGGTTGACGATCCATGATTAGTTCTTTTTAGACAGAAAATTATAGTTAGCGTTTCAGTTCAAGATAAGACCCCGTGTGATCAAGATCGTTTTTGAATAGAAGACAAGTTAGACTGTAATCCTCGATAAAGTAATCAAGACCCGCGAACGTTGGTAAGCAATAACTTGTTTTGTGATTATGTTATCTAGCTCGTAGTCGTTACTCAAAGCGAAATTTATCGCTCGTTTTTACCTTTCTTTTGGTTCCTTTAACTGCCACGTGCTGGTTTCCAAAATCGAGATTATTCTTAAGCTATGATCACAATACTTAGGTGATTTCTTTACGTAATAATTTCAGTTGACCGCTTCGATATAATAACGCCCCAAGGAATAGGAAAAGGAATAAAGAAAGAAAAGATCCTATTTGGTTTGGTGTTTATCGCATGCGCGTGTATCAACCCGGGAATCGAATTTGCAACTCTAGCTTGAAAAGAAACATTTATTGATATTGATTCAATTATAATCCCGTAGATGCAAGAGTTCGCATTCCACGTTTACATCTCGTCCCTTCGGCTGCTAACATGGCTAAAGCATGATCACTTAATTACAACGACGTTTGCCCGTAGGGGGCTTTAAATAACAAAAAGAGTCTCAACTGATTTCAACTTCACACTTCCTCTGAAGAAGAAAAGATTCTGGCGTCTTGATTTACTAATTCACTGTTATCACGTGTACACTATCGACTGCTGATGTCTAAACTCGAAGTAGTTAAAAATTATCAGTCACGCTCAAAAGAGTATAATTTCAACTGATGCTGATATCGCACACTTCCTCTGAAGAAGAAAAGATCCCCAGCTGCTTGAAGATACCGCTGGTTAGCATGCGTTTTATCGCAAGTTGTGAGAACGTCGTCCCCAGGTTCCAGACCACGCCAATTTTTCCCTTCCCTCCCCACCCCCCGGACTGTTCTCTTAATCCCCTTGAAGAAACCGTCTTCTACAGCCAGTGCTGAAGAGTTTTATTACAGTTTTTTTCATAATGAGGGGCTAGAAAATAAACTATAACAAGAACTCCGCTTTTAGGCTTGGCTAAATCTATATATTAGAAATAACAAAAAAGTTTTGATTGTCTTTAGCCGGCATAGTATTATATCAGAGGAGAGATAAATCGGGGAGATATATGCCATGGTCAGTCAATCTGGATTGAAACACTTCAGCAATTCAGCAGTACAGTGGATCAGAACATTGATAACAGAGGCACTTAAAACTTATCCTTCTGTTGCATCTTGAAATGATCGAATCAGTTAAAAAATATTGCCACCAGTGTATTTTATAACTGCGAAACATCGACAAATCCTAACTGACTCCTTTGTTATCATGATGACAAACTCGAAGGTTCCCCTTGACAAGCACGCAGTTCTAAACAGACCGATAAAGCATGCGTCAAAGACGCGACCAGCCATAGCTTCGTCCGTAAGTGTGAAAAGTTGAGAGTGTGGATATCTCATTTGGTGATATACATGAAGATGCCATTTCATAGATGCGACCAGCGCTTAAGACTGATGACGTCATCCAAAAGCTTAATGAGGATACGGAATGGTTTCAATCTCAACTGACTTGGTAATCAATAAATAGTCATAAGATAAGCCTCTAATCTTTTTATTGCAGATATTAAATAGAGTGTTTTACATTATGTTAAATACAACTTGTTGTGTTTGGATAGCGTACAAAATTAAACGCTCATCCGTGCTCTCATTTCGCCCGGTTTTTAAACAAGCACTCCATTTACCATAGCAAAACAGTATGAACCCTTTACATGGCGTTTTCTTTCTCATACGAATCCAAAGCACTTAATTTGAATTAACTCACACTCTATTAAGACGGTTCTCTCCGTTTATGACAAAAGCATTTGATACTAGCAGCAAAACGGTAAATGTCAATAACAATGCAATCGCTTGTTTTCAAATAAAGGTAACTTGAAAGTTAAACAAATCACTAGAAGTGATGCAATATGTAATTTAAAGAAGATACTTCATTAAGTGATAAGTGCTAGTTAATACCACACGACTAATTCATTACCAAACTACAAAATTTTACCAAATTTCATATCGCCGTTAGGAGATCTCTTACTAGGTCTGCCACAAACAAATTTAGTAAATGGTTTCACAATAAAACAATGAAAAGCTCGCCAAGTACATCTATCGGCATAAACGAGCCGTTTTTCAAGTAGGTTGTTTTTTGCTTGTTTCTTTCTTTCTCTTCTGATTTAATCTATTACGGAAGTTTAATTCATATCTATCCAATATTCCTTATTCTGACACCGATTAAATTATTTATTATAGGCATTCTTTAAGAATTAATTAATTAGTTTCTTGTACTTTTATTATTATCATTTTGTCAATCAAGGACAAAGCTTTCACATGTTCTTCTAATAATTATAGGGAGAGAAATTTAACCAACACAAACCTACACTTAGTTTAGCACCGAGAAGTGACGATTATGTACCCTAACGACGGTCACTGGCCCATTTTCCCAATCTCTTAGCTGAGGTCTTCTTTGCAACTTCCTCACTTGGTCCTGCATCTTCATCTCCGAGATCTTCAACCCTGGAGTATTTTGCCTTGTCATAAGCGCCCATGTCAAGAAGTTCCAAATATGTCTTAAAAGAAAGTAACAAACGAGGGTTACACATTAGCCGCAGAGCGTTACAACACAGTAAAGTCAAGCTGAAAAGTGCGATCACTTCCCCGGCATACTGAGAATCTCTTTGGGTTAAAGTCGCGGATATACTAAGTGCGTTTCTTATTTCCTCTCTGAAAATAGAGAAGTTGCAAGTAGGTGGGTAGAACTGAGCAGATTTATGCCCTAGGGACGATCACAACCGCCGTAAATATCAGAGGCAGCCAACAAGTGGAAATGCTTGTAAATGGCCAGACGGGCTGGAAAATGTCTCTTACCAGAATTATGAATGGTTTCAGCCGAAGCTCTTATGGAGCGAATGGAAATAAAGCCAAAGCTACCAAGTATTGTTCCTAACACATGGGGGCAAGGTAAGAAGTTTGGAAAGTTTTCGAGTCTTTAAAATGCATAAAATATTGGGAAGTTGTCAATTCTAGAAACGAACCTCTTCACGAATGTATGTGTCCATTCTTTGTCGCAGGTTTTCAAAAGGAGGACGGAAGTCAGGGTTACGATTCCAGCACCTTTTCATGATATCATACCTGAAATTTAACAATGATGGTCTACTCTTAACTACCTTTTTATGGATTGTGCAAAGAATACCAAAAAGGTCCTCCTACAGGAACCTTTTTTATTGAAAATAGTGTAGGCAATAGTTCAGGTTTGTCCTTTTATTGAAAATAGTGTAGGCAATGGTTCAAGTTTGTTGTGAGACGTCGAACATATCGCACTCCTTCACTCGCTCTGATTTTTTTCAAATACATTTTGATGTCATAATTGTCCAAGCCGTATCTCAGCTGAATGCGGTATGCTCCTGGTTCACATTCACATAACGGAAAGTTACTGATATGATTGTAGTCCAATTGCTTTATTGCAAAGATTTCGGCAATGAGAACGATAAATGTGTCGTCTTGGATCTTAGGTTATTTTAGGAACACGTTAGTATTATGCTAAAAAAGTGCAACTCACAGTTTGTTATCAACATGATCGGGCTTTGGCATCTGATATCCCTTTGTGACCTCTGCAACCACCATGCCTTCTGACCATCCGTCGTACGGAATTCCTCCTGTCAATGCACAAGGACAAGTGCATGTCGCATTTCCAAATATATCAACCCTAAAGTAACCGACAGTTCTCGGTGACACTGTCTCAAGGTTACACAATGTGATCGGAAACCATGATCATGGTCAAGTGTGACACGACAAGAGGTCATGGGTTCAAATCCCGTAGAGGTCCGAATTTTTTTTTCAGGCCTTATTTTCACTACTGCTTAAGTAGTGTTCATTACTGCGAAGATCACTTTCATTCACGTATTTATCCGCAGTTCAAACATATGACTTTCATATATCTTTAGCCGTTTAAAAATAGCATTACTTCTATATAGCGCTTGGACATTGCTGTTCTAAGCGTTAAATGTATTGATTGAACATAGCTTGGCTTACCAAGGGTAACTATCTCATACAGGACGATTCCATAGGACCACCTGACGAGAGCATATCAGAAATATTCTATAGTTAATCGCTGAGTGAATTTTAGACGTGAAATAATAAAGAAAAATCCAAAGGTAATCAGTTCGTTAGGTTGGTGGATTAATATGCATATCTATACATACACATCACTCAAGGTGGAAAGTCCAGCAAGTTCTCCCAGCAGAATCTCTGGTGCAGTCCATTTGATTGGCAAACATCCCTGGAAAACAACCAATAAACGTTTGCCTTACAAAACTTATGTCCCTTTTTTTCAAAGCCATCTTTAAAAAAATATGAAGCTACATAACGTAAACATGTTAAAATGTGAAAAGAAAGCTACATTTGTCGTTCCCTTATAAGTCAATCCAATGTTAGCCTTCGTAAAGTTGTCACGGAAAACAGAAAACGTAACTCCTTTCACAGGGCTTTCTACAAAAAACGCTAATGAAATTGATATATCCCGATACCCAGGCCAGAGTACTTATTCTGTTAATTTCTAACTCTGCTTTGTTTTGCTTTTTTCTTGTAAGTAAAAGTGAGCTATGAAACCCTGTTGGTAGTCGAGGTACATTTACTTTATGCAGAGAATATGTTGACGCTTCCAACTTTTTTCCAGAAAACACCGCACTAAAGCAACCAAAAAAGTTTTTTCTACCTTTTTGGCATTTCCATGGCCATACTTGAAACTTTGATATGCCATACCAAAGTCCGTCACTTTGCAAACATAGTTGTTATCGAGGAGAATGTTTCGAGCCGCCAGGTCACGATGGATGATCTATCAGAAGATGAGGAGCCGGAATATAAGAGTTAAGAAACGGTAGGTTTATATAATACAGCTGTGAATTAAACGTCTGGGTATGTTCAAACAATAAAGGGGCTGAAACTAAGGCAGCTTTATATAATGATTTAATGCTGACAAAACTAAGATTTCTTCTTTCTTTATCAAAAAACAAATTTGACTTTTTTACAACAGCGAAATTAACGATAATGATAACAATGATAACGATAATAGTAATAATTATGCTTATAATCATAATAATTATGATAATAAAATAAAATTTAGAAATGGTAAGCCAACGGAGGACCCGTTGTGTTCCAAGAAAGAAAAAGATGAGATGGTTTTCTCTTTACCTCTGTTTTCTTCTACAGATTTTTAGGGAGTTCCATTTTTCCCTTTGTTTTGTTTTTAAGTGTCGCAATAAGGTTTTATATACATATATATATTTATATATGTATGTATGTAGCGCAGATTATTTATACGACGCACCACTAGCCCAAATGAACCATCAGCGCATACTCGATCTTTGACAGCTGCATGAGTTTGTCTTTTTCTTTTTTTAGCCTAATTCTATACCATTCCAGGTAATAAGAGCTAGGATTTTTTGAGGCTCGGCAACCGAATTATTATGAACCTTACTCTCGTCTCTTGGCTCATTTTGTTGACATCTGCAGTGACCTGCTAATGTCAACAAAAAGTATTATGGCTAAAAAAAACTTAGAGATTTCTCTAATGTAAAAGCACTCAAAAATGTTGGCCAAAATCTGAGCTGTTGAAAAATGAAAAGTTTAAATCTCTGAAAGATTTTTTCTGAGTTAGAATTGACACGTGACAAGTATTCCACTTACACCTCGCGTTCCAAGGAACACCATACCGGCGGCGATTTGTTTGGCAAACAGCACAAGATCGTAGTTGGTCAAATTCTGAGCTCTTCCCTCACCAAGATAATACCGATCCCTCACTCCTCGGCATTTTCTCAGGTAACCAAGTAGGTCACCACATGGCAAGTACTCCATGATGAGTATGGGATGAACTTAAGTGACGTTAAAAAAGAGAAAAAGCAAATAAATCCTATGTCAAGGCTCCTTACCGTATATCAAAGATAAAATTCCTGATGGCTCTCGTCATAAAGCAGTTTAGCTTACACGAAGGACTCATTCTTTTAGGATCTACTTTCATCAGAATTTACTTTCAAATATTTGCTACAGGTTAAAGGGAGAAATTAAGCTGGTTAGCTCCGTTCACGAGATTTCAAGCTATCCGACCGAGACCTTAATGAACTCTCGTTGGATACATGCTTTCGAAGAAAAACAGTCTGGTTGCCAAACCGAAAAAAGACAAACTTGGCTCCATTAACATCCCAGTTACGGAACTCATGTTAAGAGGTCCTAAGAGGGTTCATTCAGCATTTGTAGTATCGTTAATAAAATATACCTAGAAAAGATGTTGTACGCTTAGTACTTACTTTGTGTCGTAACGCAGCCCATGAACTTTACAATGTTTGGCGGAACGTTTTCACCGATAAGTTTACCCAGCTCAATTTCTCTCATCAAACATTTCCTTCCATCCTCTCCAGCAGTGGCTAAAACAAAAGTATACATTAATGGAGACACGTTCTGATTAATACATTTGTTCTATGCAAGTTCAAGCCAGAAAGAATCCGGTAGAGCTACAAACCTTACTTCTTCTTATTACCATTTGGATGATAATTTTCGAAGATAGCAGATTGCCCAACTCACCTCTCCCCCAAGCTAGCAGATTGCCCAACTCACCCCCCCCCACCCCCTACTGACCTTGCCATACCTGTGACCTTTTATATTTCTTGATGGAAACAAGAACTATTGCAGCATTACTGCAATGCCAGGATCACTTTTATTGCCAAACTGGTTGATTATCTTATATGTTTGTTTGTCCTCCCTCCCCCCACCCCCGCCTTTTGTTTCTTTTTTCTTGCGCGTAACCTTGAGTGAAGAAGAGGAAGGTGTGGGTTGGTCAAGAAGTAATTTTGGACCACCTTTGCCCCTCCCCCCCCCTGCCTCTTTCCAAATAAAACATTTCTATAACCACCCCTGAGATCAACATATGTTGAGAACAAGAACAAATCAAGAACAAATCGAAGGAGACTTACGCGTGAAACATTTAGCGGCTACTGTTCGATTGCCAGGTTGTCCATTTGGCGAACTCAGGAGAGCTCTCCACACGGCTCCAAACGCCCCTCGTCCAATGACGTCTTGAAGCAGGACACGGTTCACCGCAACCTCCCACTCATCTACCTCTGCATTCAATGGCTCCATCTGAATTGCCTCCTCTTGGTCAGGACTAAATATTGGAAATTAACATTGTATACTTTGTATACTTTCAGGTTCAAAACAAAGAAAAGTGATAAAAAGAAAAGAGAGATCAGAAGGAAAAAAATTGATTGGGGAGATAATCTCTCTTGCCGATAGTGGGAAAACAATGTTTTTACTAAACCAGAAGCATAAATTATTACAAAACATAACAGTAATTATTGTTATTTGAATACACTTTGTCGATCGGATGAAGTTCAACAATAGCTTCGTCGTTTGTTAAAATTAAACAAGAAACAGTTGGTTTTAAAATCAGAAAATTTTACGTGCATTTCAATGCATAAATCTATAAATTAATCAAACCGAGAATAGGTAGAAGATACTATTGAAATAAAAAAAAATTAAACAAAGGAACTAATGAAGCCGATTCTAACAGCGCTTGATGAATGTTAATAATGCATCATAAACACGATAAATGTAAAGTCACTGCGATATGATTTTTGTCATCGTCATCATGCAAGGTGGTGACCCATGAGGAAGGTAATGCCGGGTGTTTTTTTTTTTTTTTGATGAATTTGATGAATAAAAGGTGAAATAGTTGACTTACAGAGCCATAGCTGCAATTCCAAATAATGAAATGAAGGAGATAAAGAAGATAAAAGTTTGTATTAATTTATCAAATCGAATATTCTTAAAGAATTTTTCTGTAATGGCACTAATATTAAATTTGCATAAATTAGGAGGGACGTGCTATGTGCTGAATTTAGAATTATTATCAAACACCGTTAACAGTAATGGAAATTATAATGATGATACCATATACAGACGTGAAAAAAATCTACAATTAGCATTTTTTTGGCCGCACGCGAGTAATTCTTATAAAAATATTTCTACTCTAAGACTCTTAGCTTAGTGTCCCCTCATCCCCCTTCCCCCCAGTAGACATGCAAAATAAGTTTAAATATTTCCTTCTTTTACTTTCAGACAAAGAAATCTGAAATAACAAAGAAAAATGGACGTCACCTGTCCTTCGACGCTTGCAGAAATACCAGGCAAGCGAAATGACAATCGCTGCCGCCACTGATCCACCAATGTAATACCACAAAGTGTTGAAACTTTGCACTTGCTTTGCTAATTGTGTAAGATAGATAAATGACCATTAGACAAATCTCGACGGTAGTAAAAGTACTAATAAAATTCAAGTTGTTCGGAATAGCTTTGGAATAGCTTGGCACATTATTTAACCTGTGATTGACACCTGCTCTTAAAAACGAAATACCTGAATTTCATAGAGCGATGCAAGGAAATTTCATGTAAATGGGTCAGGTGACCCATATTTGTTTCGTATTTAATTAAAAAATAGTTTTAATCTATTTGGAAATGTATTTTTTAATCGGTAAAGTTGTATGTTTTTTTTAAGACACAACGGTAACACCAGCTTACCTTTGACGTTTATTTTTACAAAGGAACGGGCAACAAAACCGAGCTTGTTACGTGCCTCACAAGAATACACACCACTGTCCTCCTTCACAACTCCAGTTATAGCAAATGTACTCTTTTCGTCATCGAATCGTGTATCAATCTTTGCCCTTTCGGGTGGTGAGTCTCCATCTTTTTTCCAAGTTACATTTATTGTTTCTTCGTTGACGTTGCAGGTCAATGTGAGGTTGTCTCCTGCTGTGAGTGCCGGATAATGACCTGGAACAATTTGAGCTAAGGCTTTTCCTACGTTAAGAAAAAAGCAATTGATTAAAATCATGGTCCACGTTCGTCACTTTCCTCGTCAGCATCATTTCAGTGTCAGCGTCACGTCATCGTCATCGCCATGGTTATCGTCGGCGTCGTCTTCACGGTCAGCGTCATCATCATCGTTATCGTCATTAACATTAAACTTACCGTAAACACGCAGAGTTGCAGAGGAACTAGTTGTATTTGCTTTATTTTTCGCTTCACACTTGTAAGTCCCTTCCATCCCTTTTTTAACGCTTAAAAGTTTCAGGAATGATTCTCCTTCGTAACTGTATTGATTGATACCAGATGGCAGGTCAGCATTATTAAAAACCCAGGCTAATGTTGGTGTTGGCACACCTGAGGCTCGACAACTAAAGTTCACAGAGTTTCCTTCGGTAACAGACTGGTTTATCGGAGGCTCTATAATCTGTGGAGATACTTCAATTTAAAAAAATCCAAAGTTAATAAGGTTTGTGTAGTCCAGTTTAACCCCATTTATCCAATCCTTGATAAAACGACGAAACAACAACAACGACAAAAAATCAAAACAAAAAACGCGATGTTCAAGTCTATTTTTGACCAACGTCAATTTTTTCGAAGGTTTTCGTCGCCTTCAGCATAAAAAGATATCGTTTGCCCTTAAGTTGTCCCAGTTGTCCCAATAAAATTAATCCTTTTCTTGATGGTTGTTGAGTGTGATGTTAAAAAAAACATATGTTCAATGACTATCAGTTTCCTTTTTTTAGCAGTATATATTGAATTCGAAAAGTTATTAGGCGATGATGATCAAAACAATGTAAAACGATTGTATTCTGAAATCAAAAAAAGGAAAGGAAATCTGTCATTTGACGTTTCCAAATTGTCCGTTTTAATATGAGTTCACGGATAAAAATGTTAAAGTGGACCCCAGGATTTGCAATTCCTTAATAGCAGAAGGTGTTTTAAATTATTTCTTTGGTCACGGATTCAGCTTCAATAACAATCTGGGTGTGTGTAAGTCAGAATCAACTGTACGTGATCAGGTACCCTTTTCTAGAAGAAAAGAGTACTAATGTTGGTAATTTGAAGCAAGTTATATGAATGTTCATTTAAAATCTCTTTCCAACTTCAATCCTTAATATTTAGGTAATGATACACTCAAAGCCTAGTTGATGAACTACCTTTAACACTAATGAAAATGTATCATAAGATCATGACTCCTTAGTTCCTTGTTCATCGATATTTTTAAAGGAAAAGGATGAAAAGAGAAAGAAAAAAATAGGTCTATTTAAATTTGGCTTAAGCTTAAAAACAAACGCTTTGTTAAGTTACAAGTTTGATAAATGACATAAACTACAATATAGAGTTTACCAGTGACATCGATCCAGAAGGAAGAGTTTGCTTTTCCATAATCATTTTCAGCAGTACATTCATAATAGCCTTTATCTTTAAACGTCACTTGTCCAATAACTAAGGTGTTGTTTTTATTAAGTAGCACTCCATCCTTGGTCCAGTTGACATATACTTGTGGGTCACCTCTCAAATAACACTCTTTTGTAAATGTGGAATTAAATGCAATGGTGAAATTTCTTAACTCATCACTAACACGGGGTGGAACTGCAAAGTAAGCATATAAATACAAATTACAAAATTATAAGCCACCCAAAGCCTCCCCCCCTCCCTCCACCCGCAAAAATAAGAAATAATAAATATAAAAAAAAACTAATAAATAACAATTTAAAAAAGAAGAAATCGATGCACCATTTTGTGATCATATCAAACAAATGCTTCCAAAAACCATGTTAGTCAGGCTATATTACTAGCTTAGCCATGAAACCATCATATTTTTAGAGCAGGAACAAACGAACAAGTGTAAAGACTTTCCAGTTCTTCGCAATAAATAACTAATCAAGTTGTGTGAAGAATTACTGTACACTTGACGAACACACCTTTTACAGAAATGTCAATGTCTTTGGTGTCAAAGCCTGCTGCATTCTCTGCCTTACAAGTGTACCGCCCTTCGTCCTCCTTTGTTATCTCAGAAAAGAAGAGAGACAAACTCTGTCCTTGCAATGTATTATTCTTGAGCCATGTGATCTGAGGTTCAGGCCGACCCTCCACAACTTTACACGTCAAGTTCACACTGTTTCCTTCTATGATGAGATTGCTTGCTCCAGAAATATCCACTTTTGGTCGAACTAGGAGGTAAATAAATAACATGTCCTTGGAAAATCGGAGGTATTCCAATATCCAATATTATTTACCAGAACACATTAAACGCCATAACTTAACATAATGAACATTTGATAATGACACTAGCGCTTTATATGAAACATAATCATTTGTCAGATCGCGGACATAACTTCGTATTGAGGTCTACATACTCCTATTATCTCGGACCAGTTTACGAAAGACAGAAGGCGCAGCCATGGAGAGTATGGTCTACCCTGTTATTGCTATAGAGTTTTAGGAGCATTCGATAACCTTATCACCCTATAATCTTGGTTCGCGAAAACGCTGATAGTTTGCTACAGCATTTGAAGAACCGAAAGCATTCCATTCACTTCACTGATGTTATAAATAGTAACAAGTCACTCGCCATCCATGGGACTGCATCTTTAAAACAAGAGTCCGAGGTCTAAAAGATTCCCTGTGAGTAATGCGAAGTTTACATCAGCGGAACATGCAGTCCCATGCAAGTAATGGTTAAACGAGTGATATGGCAGATCGAGAAACGACATGCTTAGACAAAGGCCTCTGCAGTTTCAGAAGACACCTGGAAACCACCATTTCTGGACTGAAGTAGAGTACATTGATTGTGATCCTATTATTATACACGCAGGGTAAAAGAGGCCATCCACGTAAGATTTCGCATGTTACAACATAAATTGAACATTGGGGTAGACATCCCGGAAACATGGATGCGGACCACAAGAAACACAAAACATAATAACTTTGCGACAGTGGACTCAGAAAGAACATTTAGTCAAAGTGTGGCAATCGAGGCCTGTGTGGGATTCTAGCCAATCACAGTCAAACAGAGTGTTCATAAGGTCATGCATATCTACCGACCTTATAACACGAAGAAGACACAATATGCAGTCAAAAAGTCACAATCCACATCCAAAGTAACTTAATGGCGAGATAAACGATTATAATGCATTCAGAAATTGAATTCGTCACCATGACCAACCAAAGTCGTTTTAAGCACATTACCAGCTTGAAAAGAAACTTTAAGCTTCATCAAAGGGCGCTTACTCTGAGTTCTTTTAACAGGACACCCTACTTTAAAACAACCGTAATCAACAAACATATCCACGATAAAATGTCGCCTCGCATGGCTGCGGATATGAACAGCGAAAAGGTTTTGAAACTGAGTAAATTAAATTCATTACATTTGAAGAACTGACTTTATGACTTTCTATATATTATCTCATTGGTCACTCACTTATAACTGTCACTACTATGTTTTTATCTCTGCTTGTGACCCTCTGTGGTCCTTTAGTTTGTTTCATGGTACAGGTGAATGTTCCATTGTCTTCAGGCTTTACAAAACCAATACGCAGGCTGCCGTTGGATACTTGAGTGAATCGTTTCGGGTCTAAGGACTTTCCTCCTTTCTTACTCCAAGAAATCTGTGGACTCGGTGTTCCATCAGCACTACAGCTTATAATGCCAGACGTGTACGCAATAAAGGTTTGTTGGTCCAACGTCTTTTGAGTAAATCTTGCTGTTGAAAGCAGTAATGAAAAGCACCAATATCATAGCTATACTGTTGAAAAGTCAGAAGTGTACTTGTCTTACATGGCATTGTCCTGCATGTTAAGCCTATTTCTACAAGATAAAAAGATGCGTTTTCATACCATTAATGTAGACAATGTAATATTGAACATATTCCAATCTCTGGCATTCATATATTCCTCCATCAGATAGCTGCACGTCATCAATGAACAGATCACCATTGTCTTCAGCCCTGATCCTTTCAGAAGTAGAGTTTGTTATTTCAAGCTTTTGCCTATTAATGACCCACCTAGCATGAGTGGTTTTATTGTGTATAGAACAGTGAAGCTTTTCTCTGCTACCAATATCAAAATAGAGTTCATCTCTTTTCAACACTTTCTGGTTTTCTGCAAAAAAAATAGTTCAGTTTAGAAGATTTTATCAAAATAAATCAAATTTTTTGTACTTAACACTACAAGAAGAGATAGAAAAGTTGAATATATTTACCTGTGCTAAAGCTTAAATTGAGAAATGTTTTTAACAATGTCGTATTTTAAACTTAGTTACAATACTCCAAACAAAATCATGTTAGCCATTAGGTAACCCTTAACTGAAGTCAGGTGATCTTATGAGCAGTCATATCACCTTCATGAAAGTCATGTACACCCTAGCTAACATCATTTCACCTCAAGACCAAGTTGAATCATCTATAAGGAGGGTAAGTTCTTAAAGAAACTGTGGCGTTGCGTCGGTGGGGGAGTATAACACCCGCCATGACGAAGGGCTAACGCTCGAAATTTAGCTTTGAAACTCTTTACGGGGGCAAATTTACATTATCAACTCGGTTGATAAAATCAAAATCATCTAAGTCATTTTAAGTCGACTCATGTTACCCTTAAACCAAGTCATGTCATCCTTAACCCTAACCCTCTACTTTAGAAGGTCAGTGGGAAGAAGAAAGACAATCACGAAAATCAGAATAACTAATCAGACCTAAAAATTTAGTTGCTTACTTGGTTGACACAACGCTTGAGAACCCTTGTCATCCGCTTGACATTGAGGTGGAATATTTAACTTTCCATCGATGCGATCGCATGATGCAAGTTCAAACTCCTCTCCAGCGCAAGAGACATCGGACATTGCAAAAGGTATTCCCTCAGCCTTTATGTCTGACCCAATAAATTCCGCTAAAGCCTCTTCAAAGCCAAGTTGACGACAAATAACTTTGACATCATTAAAGTCCCATTTATTCCTACATATCTTTGCCCATTTCCCCTTGTAAAACACTTCCACTCTTCCTCCATACTCCACATTTGCGCCATTCAAGCGAACAGGAACTTATGGAATTACAAAAATTTTAATCCATTAAGATGGAAAATACTGGTTATCAAGAATCAAGAATGCCTTTAAATCACGAAAGGATAAATAGTTCATGCCAGTCTAAGTGTTTAGTTTTAAGGGAAATTCTGGGTGTAAATTATTCAGTATTCGTACGTTGGATGTATCGTTCTTTGTCCGATGTAGTTCACGACATTTACATAGTTTCCTTGCAGCGATGTTTTACGACGAACCTCTTTTACATTGCTTCGTGACTGTGCTTTAAATTGTGAAACAAGATTTTTTTTAAAAAAATGTTGGAACATTCAAGACGTGTCTTCTTAGCCTAAAAGCGTTTACTTTCGGAGAACACAATAGGGTGATTTACATTTTAAATTAGAACGTCATTTTTAAAGCATTTCTCATGCAATTATCAAGAAAAAGGCATTTAGTTAAGTATAAGTAGGGTGAAAATTGTAAAATTCCTTAGTTGCACGAAAGAGAGAGAAAAAAGGAAACTAGAAGGATGTAAAAGTTTTAAGGAAACTTAGTGAAGGGTTTGGAGGTTGTGAAGTTCATGAAACCGAAATGCATAACTGCGCAGTTAGGTTCTTCTTTCGGCAGCAATTCAACTATAATCGTCTAAGGGTGTAAACAAACCCGCCAGATTTTTAGCGATACATACCTTTTTAGAACCTAAAGATACCCGAAGATGAGCAATCATTGATCTCGGGAAAGTTTTAATCTCCGGAGTGTGAGTAAATCTATCAAGTTACCATCTTTGGAGATCATGCGGATATTAAATGAGTGCAATTCATTATTACCTTTGCAAATTTGTTGTTTATTTTCCAAGTTGTTTTGACATCTGGTCGGAATGGTACAGTTGTAGTCGGTGGACATCTCTGAAGCATTGCCACGTTCTGCGTACCATGTGTAATTAGCAAAGACGCCGTTGTCATAGTAGCCCATGGCCATGCAGGTTGAATTTTCATCTGCTTCATCCCATTGACTGGTACAAAGCTTTTGCCAACTGCTGTTTGAGAATATCTTCATTGTACCGACAGATGGGTTCTTCTCTGTTTCAAATCGCAGGGGAAATTCTTCAAATATTAAAAAAAAACAATAGATAAATAAGGATAACAGTAAACAACGTGGACTAATTAAGCTTAGGTAAATTCTTGTGTCGATGATGTCGCCATATAATTACCTAGTAACAGTAGTCCTTGCATTGCTGAAAGATTTCTTTTCAGTTTATGGTGGAAGAATTTCCTGTTTAGCTAAAATGATTTTCTTTGCCAGCTGGTCAATGCCAAAACTGAGGCCCTCGCATTGTCAAACATATTTCTTGTCAGTAGATGATAGTTAGCTTTACCGGCTTGACTAGAAAGGTATTGCTCACAGACAACCAAAAGAAATTCGTAATCGCCATTGTGCATATAGTGCAGACTTCTTACAGAGCGACCACAAATATCAGCGAAAACTTGTGCCAAGAATTTAGTACCTATTGTAGTACAAATGATAGTGGAGATTTGTTTTGTTTCTTTAAAGAAAAGCATGGTGAATTCCGTACAGGTACAGAGTTTGTGCATTCATGAAGGATTTCTGACTTATAATGAACTCCTGACTTTTGATAATTTGAGCATTTCACATACTTTGCCTGGATGATTATGTGATTAAAGTTAAAACTCAGAAGTTCCATTCATTTGTTCTTATTCTAACTTTTATTCCTGTATTTGTTCTTTTTTGTTTCAACAAAGAAGTTTTCATCCACTGAAATCAGAAAAGCTGCAATTTGTATGTTACCTTCTTGGCAACTGGACATGTTGCTACATTCTCTCAGCAGTGCTCCGGTCCCATCGCAGTGTTTCCCACCATATGCTGGTTCTGGATTGGCGCATTCTCTCTGTCTGGTTTGTATACCACCAACTGGCTTGGTACAGATACTCCAGGAGTTCCACTCACTCCAGCCACCATCCACTTACAAAGTTTTAAACAAAAACATTTGATAAACAACCATAGACGACATGTTTGGATCATTTACCCAAATAAAGTATGTAAGACAGTGGTGCAGTCTCTATTTCTACCTTTATCTATAATTACTTCGAATGCTCAAGTTAACATTTGGTTACGGTAAACTCATTAATTTGGTATTTGGCGCGATGCCGAAGGGTTTGCTATGAACTTATCGAGACACGCTTCTGAGAGCAAAAACATAACTCGAGAGTGGTATTGGTGAGGGCCAGTGGGTTGGGGTCCAAGCGAGCAAGATGAACGTGAAACACTGGGAAGGTGTCCGACATGGATGGGTTGACGGCTTCGTCTTGACATGGGTTCTGGATAGATTGTCTGCTAAATTCAAGAGAGAACCTTTTCTATACACAATAGTAAAATTGTAACGCTGTAGGAAAAGCAACATCTTTTGCAGACACTTAGGTGCTGAGGCGAGGTCCTTCTTGAAGATTGACTGAAAGGGTTGATGGTCTGTATAGACTGTTGGATTTTCCTAAAAGTAATTCCTCGAATGTGTTGAGGGCTTCAACAATAGCCAGGTATAGCACTCTTCGGTAGTGATTAGGCCTTTTGCAGTACGCAATGGGTCGTAGAGAAGACTCGTCAAGGGCGCTGCTACTGTGTGGTTTGATGGTTTGTAAGAGGGCAGTTCCTTGGCCATAGTCTGAGGCGTCCACTTGAAGGATCAGTGGCGCAGTTACGTCAAAGTATGCCAGGCATGCTGCAGAGGTGGCTAGGGCTTTTGCTGAATCAAAGGCTTGCTGGTGCTTTGTTGACCACAGGAATGGCATGTCCTCTTTGGTGAGGTTGTATTGAAGTTGGGTGACGCTGCTAAGTTCGGAACAGAATTTGGCCAGGTAATTAATATCCCGTAGGAATCGGCGCACTGCTTGCTTTTCGGTTGGAGTGGGCATGGTGATCATAGCTTTAACTGTGACAGGGTTGGGCTGGAGGCCATCCGTAGTGGTAACATGGCTCATGAAAGTGGCTTTGCAAATAAGGAATTTCATCTTGTTGACATTTACCTTGACATGACGTTGTTCAAATCCCTCAAGCACGGCGATAAGGCTGCGGTCGTGGTCGATTCTGGCTTCCATGTTATTGACGCTGCAGCCAGGGATTAAGATGCCGTGAGTAATACCGAAGCTTAGGAGGCCATCAAGCACCATATGAATTTGGCGCTGCCGTTCTTTTGATGCAGAGGATATGACTAATGGTAGCCTAGTCCATCTGTAGCGACCCCATGGTGTGAACATTGTGGTAATCAGAGATGATCTTAAGGACAAGGGGATGGTTTGCCTCTTTACATCTATTCCTTCCATGCAGCTAGTGGATGTTTTCTTCCAAGGTGGAGATGATGTACTTTGGACATCGAATGGCTTTATTGAGGGTCTAAGAAGGGTCTAAGCAGCTCCGTATTTTTCCCGGTTTGGTTGGGGTTGGTTTTGGCTCTCGGTTGAGATACCCTTACTAGCTGGCCAGTGGTTTCATACGCATCCAGGGCCGCTTTGATTGCATCCAGCTTTGAAATGGGTTCACATTGAATGGGGGCATGAATGGGTTTGACATCTGGATCCAAGTCGAGATCGACGGGTAGGCTGAGGAAGCCCAGACCTTGAAAGAGTGAGGTTCAGTTCTTGGAAATGAGTTCCAGAGTTCAAGTCCTTAGTGTAGGCCAGACTCGCATTGACGTATCCGGGGGTGGTAAAGGGGGCCCAGCTGCTGATTCCTGATGGCTGTCAGGTTCAGTCAGCAGTGGCTGGGGAGGGTTACTTATGGAGCATTTCCTTATGAAGTCCGCATGCATAGTCAGCACATCAAGTGCTATGCTTGCCTCTGTACTGAGTAAGGCTGGTTGGTCAGTGAAAATGACTGGGAAGGTGAGGTTACTCGTGAATTTACCTTTACTGGCTTGGAGGGTAAGTTGGCCAATGGATCTGGTTGGTGGACTGTCATAGGGTGGTATCACAGTTTTGGATGGTAGAATCTTGGCCCAGGATATGCTGGAAAAGTAGCAGGATAGAAGAGTGTTGCAAGAGGCTGCGAAATGGCCTTTGTCAGAGGGTGGGGCCGTTGTAGGGACGCCAGTGTTAGGGGATTACCCGCTTAAGAGGGTGAAGCAGTTCTAATACTGTATGCCTTCCTCGGGAAGGGTGTAGGAGTGCTCTTCTTGTTCCACCAATCTCATGTATTCCCGTCTGGGACCCGGTGGGGTAGGTGTATGGGAGGCAGGTCTGGAGGCTCCGTTCTCTTTGGCAACCTGTTGACAGAAGCCTGCAAAGTGATCAGTTTTGTAACAACATCTGCAAGTCTGGCCTGAAGCTGGGCATATGTCACGGTAGTGTTGCTGCTTGCTGCCACAGAAAAAGCAATATCTGTTAAGGAACGTTCCAGGTCTTGATCTGCCCGGAGGTTTTTTGACCAATTTGTGCGCTGTCGTGGAAGTGGGAGAGTGAACTTGTTCTTCTGTGGTGGAATTAGCCAAAAGCTTGTTTGTACGTTGTGCCGCCTCAAACGATATAACTTGACTCACCACGAACGCCGGGGTGAAAGGGGGATCCTCCGGTTTCCGTTGGCCATCTCTGTAAAACATATCTTCTCGGAAGTGACTGAAGGATTCGTTGAGACCGAAGAGAAACTTGCCCCTCATAAATTCTTCCGCGTTTACGCCAAACGATCATCGCCCGGCGGAAGTACGTACAGCGGTTTCTTACGTTGAAATGGAGGTTTGGTAGCGGTCTTGCATCAAACTACATGCACCAGCGTAATGTTCTTTGATTTTTTGAAGCCAAACTCGGTGTTTTCCAGCATCATCGTTCGATATCTTGGAAGTGATTTCGATGTGCAAGGTGTCCCATTCAGTTGAAGGAATTGCTAACTCGAAGGGTCTCTTAGCGACGATGTAGTGGTCCTCAATCTCGGTGATTCTGCTTTTAGTGGGGTTTCTGTAACCTTCGAGTAAACATTAATCATGAAATCTGGTCTCCCAGTAACGGTTATGGTCACGGTTTGGTCGCACGGCTTGTACATCGAGGATAGACTTTCCGTGCTTCGGCATAGTGCAATTGTGAAATGTTGGTGAAGGTTTGAGATGTTGCCGAAGAAGCTATTCAATGGTGCAGTTGTGTCTACGAGAAGCTGGCTCGCTGTAAAAACCGGTCCTGACACCATGTTAAGCAGTATACTTTTCTAGATTGACGAAGAATAAACACACGCGCAGCCATGATGAACTAATTTATTCACACCCCGAGCACGCGTTGATACGGGAACTTTAGAATGTGGTGTAATTATGCGCGAGTAATGAAACGGTAACATGACATGTTCTCTGACTCTAAAAAATCTGGCTCTAACAACAGCGGAAGCAGAACAAAAAGCATAAGACACAAAGGGCGTAGACACACTTTAAAATATAGGCTTTAAGCCAAAGAAATGGAGACAAATGAAACATTCCTAAAAGTCAAGTCAGCTTACTATCAAAGGTCTCAACCTCATCCCAACACCCGTGACAAACGAATGTAAAATTAGACAACAACTCTTGCAAGATTTTGAACAATTTGCAATTTGCAAGACGAATGCACCTCCAAAACATCTTTCACGGACAAAACAAAGAAGCACATCCGTTTCATGTTAAATCCAACTGGATACCACCGGTTCAGCCTTCTATTGCCCATGAGAGCGACTAAGAAAATGTCAAAACACAACTTGCAGAGATTACTGTAACTAAGCCAAAAAATAAATTGTCATGCAATGAGGTTATGGCTTTAAAAGAGTTGAAAAACAATTCTGTTTTAAACCTCAAAAAAGCAAACAAAGGTACAACAGTCATCATGAATAACTACAACCTTTCAGAGCGCCGATGGTGAAAAACACGCAGAAAAGGGTTAATGAGATCATTGACCAAATGCGTCAGGGCAAACACATCGATGACATGACGAACAAATGGCTTTCACAAACTCCCAATCCGCTTAGAATACCAATATTCTATAAGCTCACGATAATACACATGCCTATACTGGTCGGTAGACCTTTAATCTCAGGATGCGACGGCCCCACCGAAAAAAAATCATCTTTTGTGTAGACACTGCCCCAGACTATGGCGCAATTGCAACAATCCTATTTGAAGGATGCCACTGCTTTTCTCAATTTCATTGAAAAAACAAAGGTAGGCAAAGATACTATTCTAGTATCAATGAATGTTTCTAGCTTGTACACAAATATACCTCAAGAAGAAGGAACGAATATTCTATGTGAAGCATACGAAAAGCTCAACGACCATAACGCACCGATCCCAACGCATTACCTCAGGGAAATGCTTGGCTTAATCTTTCAAAGAAAATTTGTTTTAATTCAATGAGGAGAACTTCCCTGGCCCAAACGAAAATGGGCAATGTCATTTGCCAATATTTCCATGGCGAAAATTGAAACGAAATCAATCCAACAATGCGAAACCAGGCCAAGAGAATGGAAACATTACATTGATGACGTTTTTTCCCTTTGAGATTAAAACAGGGAAGAAGTAGATAGTTTATTAAACGAGCTAACTATTTCCACCCTACAATCAAATTCACGGCCGAAATATCAGAGAACAAAATCACCTTCCTCGATACCACAGTGTTTAAAGGAGAGAGATTCGCAAAAAATCCAACTTGGACATCAAAACCCATTACAAGCCGACCGAGACCTTCCAATTTACGCACTTCGCCTCGTGCCACCCATCGCGCGTAAAACATAGTTTCATTGAAGGCCAAGCAATCAGATTGCTTAGAACAAACTCTCCGAAAGAAGTATCAGAGCAGTGCCTTTTAAAATTCAAACAACGCTTAAAAGCAAGAGGGTACCTAGAAAACATCATAGAAATGTCTCTGTCAAGGTCAACTTTGCTTCTAGGCAATCGGCTCTTACGCATACACAAAAGCCAAAAGGTTACAACGTACCACTCGGCAGTTAAAAATTTAAAACGGATATCGATGGAACATTGGATTCAGCCCTTGCTGGAGGCAATCTTTAAAAAACCTCCGATCATCTCTCACAAAAAGGAAAAATCACGCTCGTGAGAACAAAAATATAATTTGAAGGCTATAGTGCGACGCGACCACAAAAGCCATATGGGGAGTCCGTGCTAGTCTGTTCTCACCTTTATTCTCGGGCTTAGAAAACCTCGAATGACATGATTTGGGTGCTGCTCAGTAATTAAAATAAAAATTTCAGCATAAATATAAGACCCAACGTTCAAATGAGAAACAAAGTAGGCATGATAACTCTGCAGGAAGTCATGAATCTCAAGTGGAAACCTCGGAAAACATTTCAAATGGTTTTCCATTGGCTCATACAGTGAAAGTATGAGCAAATTCCTGTTAGGATGCAGCGAAAGCGAAATATAAAGCTTAAAACGGCGCGACCAGTTAGTTAAACTAAATTTTATAAATAGAAAACTTGATAAATGTTAAGAAAATAAATTTTTTAGTTTTTATCGCGGCATTCAAAGCGTCCTCCTCTATTCCATTAAGCAAAGGGCTTTCGATAACTTAAAATCTGGGATATCGTTTAGTATGGCGTTGTTTCGCAGGGCAGGAAAATTTTTCAGTTTTCTATGGTTTTACCGGGATAATAGGCGATAGATTTTTGACCAATTAGAATCTACGTTTTCTCTAAGTTCTGTCATTATGTTTGATTTACCGGTTGATCTAAACTCGTTTTTTAAATGTCATCAAAGCATCATTAAAATATCTTTTTATCCTTAATCAATTTTCTCTTTTATGTGATTTGAACTCGTAGATCTGATTCGCAAAATGAGCATTGTCTTCACTCTTGAATTTTTGCAGTAACGAAATTGAACATTTGTTAAAATCATGAACCATAACTCTTTTTCGTTTGTATGAATGAGAACTGTACCTCCTTTCACTTCAATCCAAAAGGTTGATTTCTTGCTTCCAGTGGGGTTTTTAGCGCTACATGTGTATTCGCCAGAGTCTTCAAACCTCGCTTGACGAATCGTGAGAGTGTTCTTTTTGCCAAGATGTATCCCATCCCTAGTCCAATGTACCTCAGGTGTAGGGAAACCGCTTAGAGAGCAATTGAACTGAAGAGGCGAATTGTATGTAACCGACTGATTGATGAGCTGAGGATTAATTTCAGGAGGACCTGGCCATGGAATTAAGAAGCACAATTCAAAAAAGGTGAAATAAGAGGAAAAAAACAACAGACAATGAAAAGAGTAACTGGAAGAGAAAAAGTAAAATTAACATTTACCTGTAACTGTAACCTGAAAAGCTGCTTCACTTTTCCCTTCACTGTTCTTAGCGCTGCATGTATATTGACCAGCGTCTCCATAAGTCACTTGTTTAATGGTGAGCTTGTTCGTGGTATTAAGTAGCTTTCCATCTCTTGTCCAATTCACCTCTGGTTGAGGAAAACCCCTCACAAGACAATCCACTTGAAGGGTTGAATTAAGTTTGACAGACTTCTCTCGCCGAGAATTAATTTCAGGAGGACCTTTATTTTTGAAAAGGAAAGTAATGATTAATGTATAACTAATGCCCCATTCCCTCCCTTCTCCTTTCTTTTAACCGTCGCTCACCCCCTTCGTAAAAGTTTCTTCTCATCCCCAACTCCCTAATGTTGTAAAAATAAAAAATGGCAGCGATAAGAAAATACTAAGAGCACTAAGCATTCGCTCGCCAAAATCGCGCCTACTGTGCAGCAGGTGCAATGGTGGTCTTTTCGTTTTACGACTAAACAAAATTTCCTTCGTTTTGCGAGAGAAAATATAAATATAGCATCTAATCGGAAATAATAAAACTCCGGCAAAAAAAGTGTTCTTTTGAAGAGTGAGGTATTTAATAAAAGGACAGTTGAGGAACATTTTACAATTTCTAAAACAGGAAATTAGTTCAGTCTTTTACTTTATCCTCATGGATGAAACCACTTACATTTACAAGGCCGTGATTCCTGAGTTCTGGAACAGTTGAATTCTAGAAGTAAGGTTATTTATATAATTTTTTAAAAGTAATGATGATTGGGCCTAAGTCAGCTTTTTTTTTAATACAGAGAAACCATTTATTTAGGAGAAGTATTGAACTTTCCGCCAAATTGTCCACCTAGGGAATAGAGAAACTGACAAACAATGCATTTTTTCAATGCAACTTAAACCTACATGTTTGGTTATCAATCCATTGGCCAAGGCGTAATGCCCATGACTTTAAATGCAGTCTATTTTGCCATCAATACATAAGAATTCATCCATTTCAATAAAAGCTTATTAATGTGCATGCAGTCTTTTGAAGCTGTAAAACAATAGTGAAAACCTACAAACACGCCTTTGAGTTACAAATACTGAAATTTTCGTCTTGTCACTTACCGACTCTTTGCCTGTACTGGCCGCACTCTTTGCAGCCTCCATTCCACGATGACCAGGCCATGCAACCTTTGAAAATGATACGTTGTGGGAAAAGAGTCATATGTGGAATCGCTTCCTTGTTTCATAAATCTGAAGCTTGCCATAAAGGATACTAAAATAAATACTTATTTTCGTTGATAACGTGAGTTCCTAAGGTCCAAGGAGGCTTCAAACTATAGCCTTCAAATTTAAAATTTCCCGATCTCGCCTCATTCGTGTGCTCCCAACATCATGCAGGAATTTTTCATTTAACCCGGGAAAATGCCAATTTTTTCTATTTCTCAAATAGATGGCTGTGCAAAAATATTTAAAAAAAACAAACTAGGATTTCAATATCGTCAGCTTTGAATTCTTAACTTTTGCTGTCAAAACTCCACCAGAAGATGGCTGAGGTCTGAGACACTGGAATTTAATCCTTGTAAAATTAAAAGTTTGTTTCTATGCTGGCCTATGCATACTGATATACTGATCCACAAAGAAACACTCTATCTTTCCCCAATTTTTCTGTTGGGAACTATTCGTTTGATCAACCATTTTTATTATGCCTGCTGATAAATAACAGTTAAAACATGCCTACTTACAATCTGTTAATAGTTAGGATGAGGATGTAAGGCGAACATGAAAAGAAAGTTTGCACATTTAATGAGTAAATAAACAGCTTAACCATGTATACACACCACAGGCTACACACACCATACTCTTCAAACATGTAATCAACTGAACATGCACTCACCCGCTTATAAATCCGGAAAGAATACCATGAAAGGGAAAAATAATTCAAACAAAGACATTTATTAATCTAATCATTTACTTATTTATTTTGAACTTAGCGCTTTGTTCGCTACGTTAATGCTCTCTGTTAAAGTAAATTATCAGATAACAGGTTTTGTAAATCAAACAGACAATGGGCTCCAACCAACATCAATGATATCTAATGATGATCACACAAACGTCTTTCATTATAGGACCTTGGTATTGGCAGGCAGACATCAATTACTGTCATTACATATTATGCTAACACAGCTACCCACAAAACTAACATCGTTTTCAATGAAAATATTTCAATAGTATCAGCGATCGCTAACGGTCATTGATATACACCTGCGGATTCCCTACCTCATAATAAGATTACCACTTGTTGAGTTTATATTGACACACTGGAGTATACTTTAGTTACAGGAACGAACGATATTGATAGTTACCTTCAGGTTTTGCTAGGCAAAAAGGACGAGATAAGAAAAGATGTGCAGTTAATGATACAAATGGCATAGCCCAATTGCAGTGCCACATCTAAATTTCTAACTCTCTTCGTAGAAAGAATCGGTTTCCAGTAATCTATTTTCTCATTTGAGGAGAGTATTAGCGTCTATTTCCCAGAGCAGGATCCGACATAAGACAATGTCTCCAAAAGATAAACGTTAAATTTTGTCAAGGAAAGGGTGCATTTCTTAATTCAGTTTTAAATTGAAAAAGTATTCTCTTTTGGTAAATAAACGTTGGCGAAGCTAAATTTGTTTTGATTTTGTCCCGGAAAATGTAGGAAATGATCCTTTTCAAATCTCCAGACAGAGACTACGTCTATAAACTTTGCTCCTTTTTTCGGTTTATCAGCATGGTATAAGGGAAATGCATTACGTATATATGTATGTTGTAGCTATTTCTACAACCAAACGAGGAAACTTACCCGCTAAGTTTTCAGCATTGAAGGGAAAGAGAAATAAGTGATTTTAGTTACATGTGTGGGAGGACCAACAAACTTTAAAATAAGCGCGTCAAGAGAACGGAAAATGAGGCGAAAATACAGATACAATAATCTCAAAACTATAAGCAATATATAATTTACAATTCCCATGGGTATTACCGGCTCCTTTGTGTTTGGATGTTTATTCATATCACAGCTAACCACAAGCCACGGGTCTAGTTTATCCGATACATGGCCAAATGATGTCCAGCAACTTAACCCATAAAGCAAGGCGTTTATTTGAACGCCAGTGAATGGACGATCCCGGAACACATGCTCTTTCGACGTAACAAATGCCTGTCAAAGTCTATTAACATATCAAGACATAAACCAGGAATAAATTATCCTTACAGATTAAAATATAAATTTGTACTTACGTCCTAATCGTTTTCGTCAAATACCAAGGCCAAGGAGTGAAATGAAAAAAGTCAACAGAAAAACAAATGAATTAAATTAGTTCAGTAACGAGTGGGTTTATATCCATTAGTAAGTCGTCCAGAACTTCTGATCAACAGTTTGGTTTAGTGCAAAAATATATGAATTTTCATATATCTAAAATCTTCATTCAAGTGGATGTATATTCATGAGTAAATCGTCCAGAACTTCTGATCAACAGTTTGGTTTAGTGCAAAAACATTTAAAAAAAGAAACTCTTATATTCAAAACGATGAAATCTCACTTTAGTGGTCTACTACACATACCATTAGAGCTTTAACCAAATTGGACAACGAGATCATACAGGATCTTTTACTGCTTAACTTCCACCTTGAATATTAATCTTTATTAGAGCCCAGTTAAAGACAACGTAATTCAATTTCCAATCATAAGTTCGGAAGCAACACGAAAAACATGTATACATATAGAGGACATGTATATTTGTAATAATGATCTCACATTCATATATTTACTTTCAATGATGATAGTAAAAAAACAAAAATGCAGTTTAAACTATTGCCAAGACTAAATTACGTTGTGATTTTTATTGCTGTTGTAGGCAAACAAATGAAAACTGAAACCCTCCAAATTACTATAAAGAAAATCATACTTACGATCTGTTTGCCAGTTATGGAAGGTAACAAGAAAAAAAAACAAACACATGTTATATTAAAGTTTACAAGGCAACCAGGAGGACAATAAGACATGGTTTGATGCTACTCTGGTTAAAAGATTTAATGAATGTAACCGTGAAGTTACAATCCATGAACCCAATCTTTCGACACTCCAGTCTAGTGCCTTCATTAAGGCAGGTAATTAGTGAGAAAATAAAAGGACCTCTTGTCTCAGCGACTAGATCACCCCTGATGAAGGCATTAGACGGGAGTGTCGAAACGTTGGGTCTATGAATTGTAACTTCTCGGTTACATTCATAAATCTTTAAACCAGGATAGCATCAAACCATGTCTAAAAAAATATGTATCAGCTAGAAATTCACATTTCTTAAAGTTGTCATGGCTAACAAACGAATGTATTTTTTGTTTTGTTTTATCGCTTCTTATCTCACGTGTTGCAAAGGTTAAGTATCGTAATAATTCGATTTGGCGCCCGGGTGCGTATTTACTTTTGGTACCTCAGAAGTTGCCGCTTATTCGAAAGAGGGCGATTATTTATTTCTTGAGAAAATGCAGATGGTTGTTTTTGTACTGGGGCTTTAATTGAGAGGTTCAAGGAAGATGAGCATGCTATCACTGAAACTAAATAGGGCGCTTATTGGGATGAGAGTGCCTACTCAAAAGGGGCGCCTATTGTGTAACACAAATTCGAGAGAGGGGGACAGTGCTTCTCAACATGGTTAGTGGTTTGTTGCGCCGATAAACCGATAGAAAGTGTGGTGGTTTAATCGCTATGAAGCAAAGAAAACGATACTTACGCCCTGGTTTGTCAAATGTGGGTCAGTGCAACATCAAAAGGAAAATGAAAAGAGAGAAACCATAACGAATAAATTAGCTCATAAACTACCAATAATTCGTGAGACAGTTCTTATTTACAACGCAAGTAAAATATAACTCAACAATCTATTTTTCTTCTGACGTAAAAACTTATGACTTATTTAATACTTTTCTTTGGCTTGTGATTTACAAACTTTTGTCGTGTTCTCCCAACATACTAATTGGTTCATTGCGCCGATAAACCAATACAAGGTGTGGTGTAATCGCTATTAAGCAAAGGAAACGCTACTTACTAGCTGATTTGTCAAGTGTGGGTCAGTGCAACAGAGTAAAAGGTAAATGAAAAGAGAAATAAAAGCAAATGGATTAACACACAAACTACCATTAACTCATAAGACACAGTTCTTACTTACAACGTAAGAAGAATGTAACTTAACATTTTACTTTTTTCTCTTACGTCAAAACGTTTAACTAATTTGATAAACAGACAGAAAGTGTAGTTTGATCGCTATTAAGCATAGAAAATGTTACTTACTCCCTAGTTTGTCAGATGAGGGTCAGTGCAACAAATTAAACGGAAATTGAAAAGAGAAAAAAAAAGCAAATAGATTAACACACAAACTACCATTAACTCATAAGACAGTTCCTATTTACAACGCAAGAGGAATGTAACTTAACATTAACTTTTTCTATAACGTTAAAACGTTTAACTTATTTAATACTTTTCCCCGGCTTATAGTTTACAAACTATTTTCGTGTTCTCCCAACATACTGAATGGTTAATTACGCCGATTAACCGATAGAAAGTGTGGTTTGATCGCTATTAAGCAAAGAAAACGTTACTTACTCCCTGATTTGTCAAATGTGGGTCAGTGCAACAGATTAAAAGAAAATTGAAAAGAGAAAAAAAGCAAATGGATTAACACACAAACTACCATTAACTCATAAGACACAGTTCTCATTTACAACGCAAGAAGAATGTAACTTAACATTTTAATTTTTTCTCTTACGTCAAAACGTTGAAATAATTTGTTACTTTTCTGTTATTTACTGTTATGGCGTGAGTTTAGGGACCAAATCGATCATTATATTTCGTATCGTGTGTTTTTCCTGTGTGGGGCAACAAAAGGTGCCATCAGCTAAAACAATCCGAAGATTCACGTTACGTTCTGTTAATAACTCGATTTAAACAAATAATTGGTTTAGAAAATTTTAAAAGAAACAATTTTCTTAAAGTTTCAAGATTTGAAAATTCTAAATAAGATTATATTACGTACTAAATTGCGAAAGTTATACATCACAAAATGAATAAATAGGCCTGAAATGAAATTCTATCTTGTTCTTGATTATACGTTGCCTAGCACGTGACCAAAATTTACCCAAGTGGATGTCCAAAATGACGGTGGCAGTCTTGGCTTAGTTATGTCACTCAAAACTCATTCCTGTTCGTCTCATTTGATAAAGAG